TGATGGGTATACGAACATGTGCCGCTCCCTATCGGAGTGTTCCCTTGCTGTATCCTCTTAACATTTCTTAGGTACTTTTGAGATCGAGTGTTTTTGCAACTCATGTCTGGTGGTCCGTCTCACTGGGCTAAAGATTCTGCTGAAGAGGATCGTGTGGAGGCACTTATCAGGTACAGTAAGTGTCTAGTGAGTTATGCTTTTACCACAACTTCCATTGTGAGGCTTTATTTAAGGCTTTTTTGACTGAGCCACTCCTCGAGATTCAGGCCAGATTTCTATTGAGACTTTCTCTGTTAGTAGAAAAAAAATTCGCAATTTGACAAAAATTTATTCGAGGGGATGCCAGACGTTTTTGTCTCGCGCGCTTATGACATTGCTCTTCAAGGATTCAGGCAGGACAGAATGTGAGCCGAAACTGCTCTCGAGAAACTGCTCTCAAAATCTAATCTGAAATGAACCAGAGGGCGTTATTCGGCTCGGGAAGGGTTCCTTAACACTTTCACTATTCCTTTTGTTAGTTCTTGTTAAAATTTATATATAGTGAGATACACGTCAGAACTGGGTGAGACCTGCAGACCCTATAACAGGATTTTAGGCCGCGTTCAGACTTCACGACAGCAGCACTGCGGTCGCGCGACCGAAGCGTTGCCGTCGCGAAGTCTGAACGCTACCTTAGAGGTCTCCACGGAAGGCAGGGGCGATGATCCTCTGGAACCAGCAAAATGCCGCCATCAAGCCGAACTGCGCTAGATAGTGCCCATTTCGATGATCTAGTATGTGGTCGTGAATGAAGGTGTTCAAAATGAGAGTGTTTTCAGAGGAACTGGTTGTTGGGATCAACACATAGCTGTGGTGGATTGTATGGGCGATAAAGGCGATTGGAGACAGTGTCAAGAGCAGGTTAGCGGTGATCTATACTTCGTATCACGGATATGAGGAGGGCGTGGCTTCATGCTCCTTTTGAACATGGCGTAGAATGCGTTCTTTCGTGTGGCTTTTCACTTGGGACGATTGTCATCCTGTCTTGTGCTGAGCAATGATATGTGCAATTGTCTCGAAACGTTAATGCGCCTTCAGAAGCGAAGCCCCCGCCACGTTCAGGTGAAGGGTGCATCCACGCCCTCCCTTTCTCCGGGATATGGTGTGTGTACAAATTTGCGCCATTGAAAACTTGAACTCAGGTACAACAATTCAAACAGTGTATGTCGAAGAAGAAACCGCAGTCAGAAGAAAAGAAGTGACTCAAACGTGTAGTAGTCACATTTTTAGGCAAGCAAAGCAGTTTTTCTATGTGATTTGTCACAAAAACCACCTATATTTTTAGCATGTTATCGGACTTATTTGCTAATTTGGAAATTGATGAAACAGAAACTAACAAAGAACGAGGACGAACAGTGTACCCCTAACAATTATATAGCTGAGAATCATAGTATTGGCTGGTTTCTTGAAAAAACTTCCTTGAAGGAACGTAAGGCGGATGAAGACAGGTGAGAGTATGTTTCCGTTTTCATTAGGCTTGTGTAGACATGAAATAAACGGCTTTCATAGAAAACTAAGATTACATCTGCTGCTAAATAGTGCTGTAAAAGTTGAGGGAGTTCCTGTTACCTTTACCGAATACATCGGTTCAAGTCTGGCCAGACTCCCTCTCGCAGCCCTCCAACCAATGACGTTGAAGGAAGCTAATCTGAGATTGAGACCTGCTCAAGTTGTCTAGGATCTCTGTACTTCTCTTCTGGAATCATATGTAGCCTGCAAATGATTAAGACAGATTAACATCGATTTCTTAACAGTGTGCAGACATGTGCTTGGCCACATATTCT